TTTTTTTTTTTTTACTGTTAAGGTTTTTGAGCTCCTTGTATATTTTGGATATTAATCCCTTGTCAGATGCATAATTTGCATATATTTTCTCCCATTCTGTAGGTTGTCTTTATAGTCCATTAATTATTTCTTTTGCTATGTAGAACCTTTTTAGTTTAATACCATTTGTCTCTTTTTTTCCTTTTTTTGCCTGTGCTTCTGTGGTCTTATAAAGTCTTTGCCCAGTTCTACATCTTGAAATGTTTCAAGGTGTCAGGTCTTATATTTAAATATTTAATCCATTTGGAGTTGATTTTGGTATATTGCTAGAGGTATGGGTCTAGTTCCATTCTTCTGCATATTGATGTCCAGTTTTCCCAGCACCATTTATTGAAGAGGCAGTCTTTTACCCAGTGTATGCTCTTGGTGCTCTTGTCAAAGATCAGTTGGATGTAAGTATGTGGGTTGATTTCTGGGTTGTCTATTCTGATCTATTGGTCCAAGTGTCTGTTTTTATGCCAATACCATGCTGCTTTGATTACTATAGCTTTGTAGTATAATTTGAAGTCAGGTAGTGTCGTGCCTCAGGCTTTATTTTTATTTTTGCTCAAGATTGCTTTGGCTATTCAGGGTCTTTTGTTGTTCTATATGAATGTTAGAATTTTTTTTTCTATTTCTGTGAAGAATGTCATTGATATTTTGATGGGGATTGCATTGAATCTATAGATTGCTTTGGGTAGTATGGACATTTTCACAATATTAATTCTTCTAATCTTTGTGCATAGAATGTCTTTCTATATTTTTGTATCCTGTTTAATATCTCTCAGAAGTGATTTGTAGTTCTCATTATAGAGATCTTTTACCTCATTGGTTAAGCTGATTCCTAGGGTGGTTTTTTTTTTTTGGTGACTGTTGTAAATGGGCTTGGTTTCTTGATTTCTTTCTCTGCTAGTTTGTTTTTGGAGTATAAGAATGCTACTGAATTTTGTGCATTGGTTTGTATACTGCAACTTTACTAAACTAATTTATCAGCTGTAAGTGTTTTTTGTAGTATCTAGGTTTTTCTATACATAGGATCATGTCATCTGCCAAAAGGGACAGTTTGATGTTGTCTTTTCCAATCTAGATGACCTTTATTTCTCTCTCTTGCCTGATTGCTCTGGCTAGTACTTCTAGTACTATGTTAAATAGGAGTGGTGAGGGTGGGTATCCTTGTCTTGTTCCTGTTGTTAAGGGAAAAGCTTTGAGCTTATCCTAATTCAGGATGATATTAGTGGTGGGTTTGTCATATATGTCCTTTATTGTGTTGAGATACTTTTCTTCTGTATTAGTCTGTTTCTGTTGCTTATAACAAAATATCTCAAACTGGGTGATTTATAAAGAAAATGAAATTTATTGCTTAGAGCCTCGTCTTGTTTCTCCTCCCATCCTTATTTCAGAGTCTTGTACTATGTGCAATTCTACATCTTCAGGCTGGCTGGAGGAAACCTTTATATTTTATAATACTTTTGAGCATGAACAGAATGCAGCTAAAGTCCTTGCTAGTTCACAGCAAGGGTGATCTTTGCTCCAGTGTCCTATTAATCCCTTCTGACCAAGAGGTCTCACATGGCAGAAAATGGCAGAGCAGAGAGAGCAAACTTCTCATGTGCTCTTCTTTT